CCGTATCTCCCACTCCAGAGCTGTGACGCAAAAGAGCAGCTTCGTAAACTATCGAAGGAATGTTCGCTCCTACTAAGTTCTTCTTTCGCTCTGCAGCTTTTTTCACCAAATTCGCAGCGGACCCAAATCCGAGATCCGTCACTTTATTGACATTGTAGTAATCACACAAGTACTGTTCTATGGACTCCTAAACAAAAAGGCAAAAGAAGTGAGCTTACTCAACAGGATAGGCCTACGTTCCAACTTGATAAATGTTACCGTCCAGTAAATTAAACCTTTTATCCCTTAGAGTGACAAGCTGCTAATATCGCCAAACAATATCACTTCTTGATCTGACATAAAAGTCATGAGAAAAAAAACGATATCATTGTGAACTATAAGCTAGTACACCTTGTCAGTATCATACAGTACAGGTAGAAATCGTTTCAAAACAGTGCAGAGAATGTGCATACTAATGTTGGATTGCAAAGGGTAAATGTAACCAAAAGTCTCAGTAAACGTAACGTACATTGTGGAATTTTGATCTTAATATGTGGCTATGGGTTAAGTGAACGAATCCCTTAAGCTGCTGGTTGGTACCAACGTAAGTTTATTTACAGCGAATAAAGTAAGCCCAAGATTTTTCCATACGATTTTCTAAGATCTGTCACCACAAGACACGAATTACAGTATTCCTCCGCTTTGAGGTTGCTTTTGTTTGTGTTATTTCATATTTAAACGCTAGAATTAATAAAATTGTAATTCTTACCGGAGTTGGTTCAGTTCCGCATTGAGATATAAAATTCAGCACGCTATCAAGTGACACTCGAAGTCCAAGCCCGGTTCCCCCGTTGCCAGACCGAGCAATTCCACCAACCTCAGCTATGGTTTCACGCAGCACTTTGTGTTTCGTCAAGAACTTCAGGAAGGAACCATAACCGAAGGCTTCAAAACCGTCAAACCCTGAATATCTGTTCATGACATTTTCCTCAATTCTGGCTAGCGTCGCTAGGTCAGTGCGCTCCGCTTTATTTAGCCACTCATTTACTTCTTCGACAATAATTCCTATCACATATATAAAACGATGAACAATTAGTAAAATGAGTAAAGGGATATCTAGCACCGTAGACCATTCCACGAATTTTACTAGTTTACCCGGAATTACTCTTTTGTACAAAAGGTTGAATTTATGATCTATAAGACTTATAACACTTTGTGTTTATATGATAAGGTGAATCCTATGCGAGTTTGATTGGTTCTCATCTATGACCTATTAGGGGACAGATGTATAGATGACATCACCACTGACAGCAATTTACTTTACATTTTATCATTTTAAACAAATAGATACCATGTGGCCGTGCGTCCGTACGGAAGAAGTAAAAACATCGGTGACGCACTCAAATGCGCCTTAACACATTTGGACGTCATCTCTGAATTATCGGCCACATGAAATCCGTTTGTTAAATATTCAATGATTCAATGACTTGGTTAACTGAAGTTTAGT